CAGTTTATCTTTTTATTTTCATTTTTATATACATTATATTTTTGTAATATATTTTTAAAGGTGCATTAAAGCCTTATTTTCCCATATAATGATAAATATAAGCATTTCAAAGGCGCACAAAAACATTTCTGTAATTTATTCGAGAACAGGTTGGCAAAATTCACATTATCAAAGTGAAGTGATTTAAAAAAAAATTGAGTACTAAAATAAAAAAATAATTATAATTTATATAAAAAATAATATAAGTAAATTTTAAAAAGACAAATAATTAAAAAAAAAATTTAAATTTAATATTAATAAGTAATTTTATTATAATTAAATTTAATATTAATACATAATTTTTATTAATTAGAAGTGGAATAAATATAAATTATGGATTTTTTATTTTTATATTAATATTGTCTTTAAAAATGTAAAAGACATATTTCCTATAAACACACATACACACATATGGGTAATAAATTTGATAAAGTATGAATTAGTATCCATACGCATCTTTTTCTTTACAAGTTTCTTTATTTCTATATCTCGTTTATATTGCTGCTTCATTACTAAGCAATAAGTAAATCATTACTAAAATTTCAAGTCAAATAAGGAAAGTTTTTAATTGACTTGAGTGAAGCTTCAATTCAAATAACATTTATATAGACATAAAATATGCTACAAGTTGTACGCTTGAAACAGCTATATAACGGGGCACGTACATATTACTACATCATAATGTGTATGAACTATGCATATGTATGCATACAGTGTACCGGAGACTCGATGAAATGACTTTACTTTTTGACATTTTACTTTTTGGTCCCTTGTTTTACAGTTATGGGAACTCAAAGTTGGAATATTCAAAAACCGTTTAATTTTGACACATTTTTTCATAACTTGGGAAAAGTTTTCCAATAAATTTTTGTTTAACTGTCTTTTACTCATAATTCCACGTTACTAACATATCGACTTTTTTACTGGAAGAAGAGACCTATATACTAACCTTCACTTTGATAAAATATAATATTGCAAAAATCACAAAAATAAAAAGTGTATCAGGCGAAAAACTGAGGCCAAAACATTAGAAAATTAACTAAAACAAAATATTTTTAAACAAATTTGTTTAACCTTTATTACGCAATATTATGCATTATTAACATTTATTTTTCCCTTTCCAAAATAATAGACATTTGCCTAACAGCAAAAACAAGCTTTTTCGCAGCAAATTAATATTATAATCCAAATAATGTTTACCCTTCAACCTTCTGTGTATTTTGCTATTATTCGAAAAATGCAATTAATGACCTTCAGGTATAGCTAATATGGAAAATTTTATTTTACTTATTGCTTACAAGAGTGAAGTAATTAAAGCTAAATTAATCAAAATTAATTACAAGTAAAAACGTTTCAATCAGTATAAATCGACCGAATTATACCCTGTACCTTAGCACTCTGAGGTTAAAATTTGTTTTTAAAATATCTAGAATTAGGTCTTATTGTTGTTTACCAAGTATCTGAACCTGGCAAACCACTCTACAGAAATTGCATGGATATGTCTGACCTATAATTGGATACACGACTGCCAAGTTTCATGAATCTGACTTTATTATTTTTTCAAACATTTAAAATTAGCTTTTGGAGTTGTATGACAGCTACCCGAACTAGTGCAGGCATTGCAATAAAATTTTCAGAACATATGTAGAGTGTAATTGGACACATCTTTGCAAAATTTGATATTAATATTTTTATTAGTTTTTGAAATATTAAAAAAAAATTCGTTGACCCGAATCCGCTGTTCGAATTGGTCCAATTACAATAGAAGCCGTCGTTTGCACAAAAGAAATAACTTTTGAAAGTTTAGGACCAATTGCGTTATTCGTTTTTGAGTTATCGTGCAATCGGACGGACGGACAAACGGACGGACATGGCTAAATCAACGCAGAATTTTACGCTGAGCAAGAATATATATATATATCCAAACGGGAGACGACTGCTTCAAGTGGTTACCAACTCCATTCCAACATCAATATATCCTTCACGAAGGGTATAAAAATCCTATTTATATACAAATTTTTCTATTTCTATGCATATACACTTTTCTACGGTTAACATAACATACATGTTATATGTTTTCTATACATATGTACATAAATGTATTTTGTTTATGCCTAAATATTTTTTTTTATTTGCACAATTTATTTCTGTATCTTTACCCCCATGATTTAATAAATATGTGTTTAAAATTTATTTTTATTTGCTTAACCACAGTTTTGAATATTATTTAATTCATATACGAAGCTTAAAAAAATTCGTTAGGAAATTTTTTTTTTTACGTATTGGTATGAAAAGAAAACTTCCTTTTATTCGGAATAAAATACTTTTTTTATTTTTTGCTAATATATTTCGTGCGCTACATACGCACTTTATCAAAGCTGATTTTCTTCCCTTTAAATTAAAAAAAATATACCTACATGCTTATGTACTTAAAAGTTTCGCGAATTTTGCCAAAGTTCTTAAGAACACAAGTTATTAAGAACAAACTACAGAATTATTCTAAGTACTATTTGAATAATATTTTTTTGGAAATTTTTATTAAACTTTTATAATAATATTTATCTGTTTTTAATATATTAAAAAAATAAAACAAAAAATTTAAACAAAATAAAATAAAAAAAATTTAAAATAATCCAAAAAAGAAAAATACGACAATATCGAACAAGTATCGATCTAATAACCTTCTGGTTATCAGACTACCACTACATCTACCAGGCTACGCAGTACTTTGAATTTGCCTTTGTAATTTTTTATTTTATTCATATTTCGTATGAACTCTTCAAAAACCATCCTATTTTACATTATATTATTATAATATATAGCATTATATTATTATATACTACTTAGGTGTCAAAAGTACGGATGCTTTTAGAAGAGCTAGAGACATGAAACAAAAGGCATTAGATAGGGTTTTGCTTCTAGGGTTCCTGAAAAAGCAAGAATTCCACCCACCCTCCCCCTTCGCCGACTCTCCCGTCTCACTCACTTCGAAGAAGTTTTGCCACCGCTTTTTACAAAATGGTACTACATCCTGTTAGGGTAATTTTTATTTGCTTTTGGTAGTATGAGAATTCTATATAAATTGTGTTTTGGAAGTGTGAGTTACAACAAGGAGTGAACACTTCCTCAAGAAAATAGTTAAAGTTAATGCAATTTACATTTTTTTATAGTAAGTATATAGGTACGAATTTAGTTATGTATTCTTTTCGCGATTTGCTGCAAAACGTATTAGTAAGCAAAACATAAGTGTACATTAAATTTCTTGACAATATATTTTTAGGACAAAATTTAATAAGAAAATGTTATTTTATTGAAAATGTTATATATAAACTTTTACAAATACGGTACATTATTTCCAAAAAAATATTTGTAAGGGTTAAGCTTTTTTAATTTCATTTTAAATAAGAACAAAAAAAATCTGATGTGATCAGCACATTACCGACCGCAATGTGTATTGTCTAGTTAAGTGAAAGTGTTACTTTAAGTATTAAGTTAATATTATAAAAATGTCTGTTAAATACTTCACCCTAGAAAAATGTAAATTTGGCTTTTAGTAGAGTTTTGCTTTGTTCTACCCGAATTCCCTCGCTCGACATGCTTGCCATTGAAAAATGTAAAATCGGCCTGCAGATCAGTTTTCAAGCCCTGAAATTTCAATGAAATCTGTTGATTACTTCTCTTTATATACGCAAAAATGTATATTTGGCCCATAGTAAACATCCAGTTGCTGATGCCTGTTTTTTTTCCAAAAGTACACACACAGTTTATTTACACTTCCCTACTATGGAGAAGTGCATTCCCACCGAAAACTCGATATGCAAAATTTGTTGTCATCACATAACCTACCCATTGTACAAACAATACGGTCGGTAAAAATAAAATTATCAATAAAACAAAAGTTCATCTGATAAATCGCATTTCCCAGGGTTCGGACCTGAGACTTTTTGCATAGAAATCGTATGCTGTACGCTTTATCCTATGTAGTATTAGAAATAGCTAATTATACATTTAGGTGTTTTATTCGCATGAATTATAAAATCCAAATACATACGTGGATGGATTTTAGTAGCGAATTATTTTATGTGTATACAGTACTAAAATAATTCGTACACATAAATTTGATCGCTTAAATTGCTTATTGCCGAAGGTAATTTACGATTTTATACGACACAACTCAAAGCGAGGTTCTAAAATAAATTACTCAAAATGCATTAGATCTCAAAGGAACTAATTATTTTTTTTAAATTAATTTTTGCTTGCATAAATTAAGCAAAAAGACTGCATAAATCGTTTATCCGAAAAATATGCAATCCTAGAAATAGTTTCGTATATGAATGAAAATATTTTTAATAGTGTGGTAGATATACATAGACTGTATTTAAAAGCAGTATTTTCACTAATTGTTGAAGAGAAAAGTGCTACAATACAAATCATTGGTTTGACACAACTTTATTTGTAATTATTTTTAAGAACTTTTCTTATTTTAAGTTTTATTTTATTTTTCATTACGAAAAAAACATATCTATATGCATATTACGGGTGTGTTTTTGAAGGAACAAAGTAAACTTAAAATATCTCAAACATAGAATGGGAAACAATTTCAAAAGTACAGACATAATACTTGCAAGGCTTGCAATACAAGCATTCATGACTAGTTTCTTAATAAAAATGGAATATTTTGAGAATATTGGAATTGGTAAGCAAACGAAAACTAACGGCTTGGAAGTAGTCGAATTACTTATGAAATAGATATACCTTGCCTGAAATTCTAAAATTACGTTTACAGTTGCTTCTTTTCACAATAATAATATGTATATATAATAATATGTAAATGAATGGACAAACCACATTTGTATAGGTAGATATGTATATACTTTTCTGTTTCTGACTGACTTTTTTATATGTACTTCATATACAAATTTTAAATTAAATAATTACTTTTTTTATATTTTACTTCACAGAAATACAAAGAAAATGATTTCGAAGTAAAACGCAAGGATGGTATTATTCTTTTACGAGAATTAGCGGCTGAAGTAAAAAACTTTATGGATTTTAAAAGGAATGCTGTTATGGTAAATACAATCAAAACAATTACTTTGATTTAGTTATGTTGCACAAATATTACATACTCATGTATTTTTCAAAATTCCAGTTCTATACCTACATATGCTGAATAAATAGAAAATTTTTATTATATTCAAATAATATGATTTTGTACAGTATATATTATAATACAGTATATATTATAAACCATAATAACTAATATGCTGAGAGCACAATACAATCTTGAACTAATTTCTTAAGAAATAACAGCTTGTAACACACAAAAAATATTGTAAACAATATAACATTAATTTTTTTAAAAATGGAATAAAAACTAGTGAAACTTCATGGTTCTTGTATTAAAATTGCAAGAAATACAAATAATATACTTATACTTGAGCGGGTCTACTTAATAAAGTTACTTCATTTTTGGATTTAGTTCTAATTATAGCAAAGTCTCAGAAAATGACGAATTGGGCCCCCAACCCGAATTCAGTAAAATTTTTGAGTTATTCTTTTAAAATTTAATTCAATGTTGTTCTCAAAGGAGGATTCCTTTAAAAAGCTGAAGAAAAAATTTGGGCCATACCTATATAAATTCAATTTTTTTAAACTTACCTTATTAAATATTTATTGAATTAAAACTGCAAAAAACGCTTTTCAAAATGCAGCGAGTCAGCTTCAATTCATGTAGCAGCATAATTTGAACCTGACTCGCTCCTGAATCCCTGAAATTGCAGCTCATAACTAAACTTCGTTTTTCCTTAATTAATTAAGGCCAAAGCACAATTTGATCGTTTTTTCTCTTCAAATCCATATACGTACATATGTAATATTGTCACCTTTATCACTAATGTATGAAGAAAGTTATAAACTTGGTTTTAAGAAACCTTAAATCCTAGAACATTAAAATTTAGGGCTATTAGGAATTAAACTTAGTTATATTACTTCAAAAGAAATATCTAAATTATTAAATGAAATTTCGCTGATATATTGCAGTGAAGATTTGCATGTTAAGAAATTTTGAAATTTCGTATATTAAGTAGGTAGTGCAAAATTATATACATACATGTTTCTTACTTGTTAATATAATTTCTTTTTTATTGACAGTAGTCAGTTTGGAACACAATGAAAGAGATATCCATAAATATATATACACATGTATGTAAAGGAAAATAATCCAAAAAATTTCTTTGAAACTTTATATTTCAACATTAGCTCATTAAACTAATTATAATAATTTTTTTGGAATTTTTAATCGTATGGATGAAGTACTCAACGGGTTTTCTTTTTTTATTTTTCCACGCTTCTTTTTCCGGGTTTTTATTTTTGTTTCTTTTTACATTTGATAGGGTCAAGCAAATGAAAATACAGTCTGTCAAACTAATTATTTCTACCGAACTACGATAGGACTACCGTTTACCTATGAAAATAAAAGTCTATTGGCGACTCTTTTAATTTCTCAACATTCGTTTTTTTAAATTTTTAAGTAAAATCTAAATAAACAAAAAAAAAAAATTCAGAAAATGAAAGAGGTTATGTAATGGCTCCAAGTTCCACATATCGAGGTAAGGAGGAAACACACTTCTCCTTAGTACGGAAGCGTTAATAAATTATTTTTAGCGAGGTGACGATTTGTTGGTTTGTGTGTGTACGCGTATAATTCAACTTCGGGTGAACCATTTACTTTGGCTATGGCACGGATTGATAAATTTTGTGGATATGTTAGTCCTTTAGAAATGTATCTTTTTATGACTTGATTTTACATTTTGATAATTTTTGAGGAAAAATTCAACAAATTTTTTTGAAATTTCATACATCTCCTTTTTACTTTTGGAAGAAATGAGGTGTCAGCAACTGGACTTTTACGGCGGGTCAAATTTGTATTTCTGCGCATATGAAGAGAAATAATCAACTAATATCCTTGAAATTTAATATTTAAGTTGAGGGTATTAAAACAATGATTTTATAAATTTTTTTGGAAATATTATGGATCGTTTTTTTTTATTGGTATAAAAAGAAAACTTTCTTTTATTCGGAATAAAATACTTTTTTTATTTTTTTTTGCTAATATATTTCGTGCGCTACATACGCACTTTATTAAAGCTGATTTTCTTCTAATTAAGACAACAAACAATAAAAATTGAAATCTATTAAAATTAGGAGTATTATATGTGACTTAATATAATCTACCTGACTTAATCTAGAATTTGATTATTTATTTTTTTTTTTTTTATTATTTACAAACTAAATTTATACCTGTTTTAAACCTTAAAGCTGGTCAAATAATTAATTTAAAGAGCCAAGTAGCCGCGTTACCTTCGTCCGTGTTCAGTAGGCAGTCCTTGTTTGATTTGTATATCTGCATGCTGTCATGAACTTCTCTCCTGTGTTTTCCTTTTACCTCTTTTAATACCTTTAAGTTATCTTCCTTGATTGTGTGATCCGTTTCATAAATGTGTTTTGCAACCATAGAATCGAAAATCCGGTTAAATCCTACTCTTCTTGCACGTTTTATTTCACTTAAATGTTCCTTAAGTCTTGTTGTAACGGGCCTCTTCGTTTGTCCTATGTAAAATTTATCGCAATTATTACAATTGATTTTGTACACACCGCATCTTTCATGTATCTTCTATTTATCCTTAGCCGAATTTTACAAAATCCTAAGTTGATATTTACTATTGGTTTCCGATGTCCGAATATTGTGTTTCCTTAGTTGTTATTTATTAAGTTTGTACAGTGATGATCATAACTTAAAGATGCCCATGTTGTTCTTTGTTCTTCCAATATCCTGTTCTGTTTAAACAACTCCTGCTCAATTTTTCGTTTTTTCTTCCTAATGAGTTTGTTAATACGTTCAGTAGAATAACAGTCGTCAGTAGAATAACAGTTCTTCACAGTCGTGTCCAAAATGAAGTTTACTTCTGATCTATAGTCGTGTCTGCATCTTTGTGTTGTTGTTTTTTTCCTATATATCTTGAATCCAATTTTTTCAGATTTTCTTTTCACCAGTATGTCCAAAAAAGTAACACTCCATTTTCCTCAATTTCGAATGTAAATTCGATGTTTCTATGTAATTTGTTGATGCATCCGTTTATATTCTCCAGTTCTTCCTTGTCCACTATCGCGAAGACGTCATCAACATACCGCATCCATACTCTACGCATCAGAGAATCCTCCTCCATTCTTTTTTCCAATTTGGACATAAATAATTCTGCGATAAATGGTGAAAGTGGATTGCCCATCGATACTCCCGATGTTGTTCTGTACATCTCGTTTCTGAATTCGAAGTAATTCTCCTCCATGCAAAGTCTTGCTAATTTGTAGTATTCTTTTACTTTGTTTTTCCTTCTGTTTCTTCTGCTTGTGTTGATAACCATACTTTCAAATATTCAAGACTTCGTTAACTGGAATACTGGGAAAGAGCGCTTTGACATCGAACGATACCATTAATTCATCAGGACCAATCTTTAAGCCTTTCGTTTTTTCTATAAATTCCTCTCTATTCTTAATAGAACAGGAACGGAATTCCATTTCCCCAAATCTTTTCAAGAGCCACTTCGCAATTTTGTATGTTGAGGCACCGTTAGCGGAAATAATCTCCCTGAACTGCTCACCTTCCTTGTGAACTTTTGGTAGACACACCAGTTTCGGAGCTGATGGATTCGGCATCGTCAAGTCGTTGATGTTGAAGTCCAGAAACTTACACTCCTTTAAAGCTTTCTTAACCTTCATTGCTGATTCCTTTAAAGGGTTGCTCCTAATTTTTCTAAAATTTCCGTTATTAAGTTTATCTAAGATCTTTTCATCGTAATCGTCCTTGTTCATAATAACGATAGTGTTTCCCTTGTCTGCTTTTATGTAATACACTGGCTTTTCATTCAAACTTTTCACCGTTGCATGTTCACTTTTGGTTTTGTTATCTAGGTTGCTGTTGGTATTAGGGATCGAAAACTCAACTGAGAGTCGATTTTACATTTTTTATCTTAGATATGATAGCTAATGAGTTAGGTATGATAGATATATGGTATTCAATTGAATTTCTTAAAAATAAGTGTTCAAGTTCTGTTTGCTACGGTCTACAATAGCAAAAGTAACGGATCTGAGAGAAGGTCAGTTAATTTTGATTTTTACTTGAAATACCCGTGACCAAAGAACATGTAATATATTGAAATACATCTAATGCTGCAGTTTTTTTCTTAGCTGAACGTGATGGCAATATAACCAAATAATTCCTAAGGGCAATTTTAGGTGGCCCCCAAACATGTTATGTAATGAACATTCCAATACACACATTCGAAATAAAATAATGAACTTGGAATTTAATTCGATTCAAATTGTAATTCGACCCAATTAATTCACTCCTCTATTTTACGGGAGTAAATTATTACAGTATTTAGAGTTTGTGTATGCCCGTTGTGAGGCCAATAAGATGTCATTCATACACAATAATCATAACTACCTCCATCTTTCGTACTTGGTCTACTTTTTATTTCTCAGTTATATATATGAAGATAACATGGCAATAGTAACAAAATTTCATATGTTAGACTTATTTATTACCCCAACCTTTAATCTGAAATGGTTTGAGATAATGTTTGAATTGAAGTCTTTTCAAAATTCTTCTGATAGATTAGGTTAATTATTTTAATTATTCGTGTACTTAATTTAAAGTTGAAAGAGTTTTTAGATAATATAGTGAAGAAAAAAATTTTTTGGTGAAATAATAGTATACGTTTATGTAATTGAACATCAAAACATGGGCTTGCGCATACCCATTGTTTATTTATGTCTTCCAGCCAAAATAAAATAAGAACCTCGAATAACGTTAATATTACTATTAGTATAGAAATTCCAAGTCAAGAACAAATCCCAAATTTATATACCAAAGTATTAACACACAATATTCATGAACTATGTCCAAAATCAGTTTGAATAATATATGAATCTTGCATACAAAATTTTCGTAAAACTTTTTGTTCAGAAACTGATACATTTAATGATGGTTATTCAATTTATAAATAATAAT